TCGCGATACCGTTTTAGCGGGCCTAACGTGTTTTGATTGGCCGAGGCTTTTACACGCGAACAGCGCGCCTTACTCGTGTTGTGTTGTTCCTCATTTATTTCGAACGAAATTCTGGTGTACATGATGTCATGATGAGTGCCCAAACTGGGACTTCTTCTGCTGTTACACAGGCCGGCGTCTTCCCCGAGAAATGTCTCCCGCCGGAGGATGAATACCAATCTCGTGAGGAGCTATTGACGGCAATAAACACCTGGGCTGCAACAAGAGGGTTCGCGTTTGTCGCGCGGAAATCTACTACTAAATCGAGTGGTAGGAGAATCGTAACATACGCATGCGATAAGTCCTGGAAGCCTAAGGCCTCGACAGGTAAGGAATCAAAAAGGAAAACAACTGTTCGTGGGACTGGTTGCCCATTTTCGATTCTGGCCAAAGAATCACTAGATAAAACTCGCTGGATTCTGCAACACCGGCCCGATGAGCTACACTCAAAGCATAATCATGCTCCCAGTCACCATCCATCCGCACATCCTGTTCATCGTCAACTAGACGCCTCAGGTAAAGCAACCCTGTCGGAGCTCGTAAGAGCGGGAATCTCTCCGAGAGACATTCAGACCTACTTACGCCAACAGAACCCTGCTTCGCTTGCCACAAGACAGGACATATATAACCGTATTGCCAAAGTGAAAGACGACATGCATGAAGGTCAGAGCTCGATTCATGCTTTGATCAATCAACTGGATCGGGAAGGTTTCTGGAGCCGTGTTCGAGTCGATGATGATCAGCGAGTTACAGCCATATTATTTGCTCACCCTGGGTCTCTACATTATCTGCAATCGTATTCTGAACTTTTGCCAGAGGGGTCTTGGCAAATTAGCATGGTAGTTACCAGTCTTTGCAACGCGCTGTGGGTGGGGGCAACGACGGGGCCCGCTGCTTGCTCCTCACAGTACAGAACGTAAGCCCTTTATTTGTTATGTGCCGTGCCGTAAGATCATGCAGCTCATTCAATAGTGTATTATACTCTCCGGGTGTGGTGATATCTTGACACCATTTTCGCTACCGCAGATAAGCAAACGCAGTGCACAAACATAACCAACCCGCATGGTTGCGCCGCCTGCGTGCGCCGGCAGGCATTCAATTTCACGTCATATGGAACTTATATGTGTCAGAAGGTGGACGCCTACAGTACTTATCTTGGGCATGTCTTGCTATTGATTCCAGGTGTTATCAAGCCTTGAAAATAAGCGAGCCGAAAGCTGTTCAGTTGTTCCCATCGCCCAGACTTCTTGTTTCATTATTTCGATCCCCCCTTTTCGGACCAGCAGATGCAGCGCCGCACTTCTGAGACGTTCTTTCAGGAGAAATGGCAGGATTTTCTCATCATGGTTGCACGAGGGCATTTGCTTTGGCGGGAATGCCGGTTCATCTATTCAGCAGCCGTGTCCAGACGCGGTCGCAGCAGAGAGTTTTAAGCTTCGAGCTGAACGTTCGTTCCAACACAGAAACGGGGCATTCATATCATGTGCATGGATGCTGCCAATCATTTGCCCAGCTACGCCTGAGCGTCGACTGAAAGAAAGAGACGGCTGGGCTTCATGGGCTTCAGAGTAGAGGATTCTACTGACGGACGAGGATATTCCTTTCCCGACATTGGATTTCGAAGTCGGAGATGGATATTCGTAATGCTTCATTCAGATATTATTGCGTTCTGCCTTCTTCGAATATGGTCTCGCGATGGGAATGGGATGGGGATTTACGGTAAAGTCTCTGGGACACCCCAGTGTGCCGAGTGCGTTCGCCTGTGTTACAAACACAGCCTCAAGCCGACGGATGCTAAGTTTACTCTACAGTCCTTAGAATGGCTACGGGCATACATAGACACTATGTGCAGCCAATCATGACAGAAATGCTTCGTTCTAGGTTAAAGGCGGTATTTCAAGACAAGAGTCGATCCGAAATAGACCTTGAGTCCCGTATATTTCCTTGGCAGTCCCCGAGCCAGTCAGCAGAGTAAATCGCGATGCAAACCTTCAGTGCCTTACTTCTCGCCTTCAGTGCGGCCACATACGCTGCTTCTGTTGACACAACTGGCCAAAACCAAATTGCTCTGTGGGTCCCAAATCCGTGTGACAAGCTTTGGGATCTGTCAAACGATCTACGCCAGTCCTTTATCAAACTCCAGAAGGACAAGGTTTCTGATCTCAACGTGATCACGGCCTATGTCACGTACACTGTGTCATCTATTTCGCCCAGTTCAACTGATACATGGTCGTTTAACACCCAGGGACCAACCCCGATTCTCACTAGTGCATACAACTCTGCTGAATGTTCATCGTATTATCCTCCACCGGCAACAGGCACTCTTCAACCAACAGGTCCAAGCACGACGGTGAATCATGCTGCAATACCAACAACAAACACGCTGTCATCGACAACAAACACCGCTGCTACATCAACGGCAACCGTGCCGTCATCAACAACGAATGCCGCTGTTACATCAACGCCAATCGATACCGCCCAGACCCGGTCGACAACATCCTCTACACCAGGCTCCACGTCTACGAATACAAACACAGCATCTGCAACGTCAGTGACCTCCCATAACGCGGACAACCCAACAACAAGCGTGCCATCACCAGTGTCAAATACTGTGACAAGCCCCCCTGTAAAGACTGCTATATCTTACACAAGAATCTCTTGCTTCGAAGTGCGAAGATTTTTGGTAAATGAGACCCTGGTGACAGAGTTCGCAGCGGACTTCTGTCAGCAGGTATCTGATGGTAAAATTAAACCACAAAACGAAGTATGGCAATCGCCCAGTGGTAAATACGTAGATGAAGAACATGGGGTTGCATACGATATAAGCATTAGAAACACCCAAAATGACTCTCCTACAGGAAACCCGGTACCGAACTTTTCGGCCTTTTATTACACATGCGGGGTGGCGATCTTTTTTGCTTGGAAGGATTGTAAGTACACCACAGAACGCCCGTCCCTGGGCTGATGGCTTGATCCGTCTTAACAATGAGCTTAGGTCATAGCAACGGCGGCTGGGGTGGAGCCCTCAATTACAAAGGATTTGACTGGATAATTCAGCCTAAACCACTGGCCGGATAATGTGTTTCCTGCCTCTGCCTCGTAGGTGGGAGGGTCGACAGGAAGGGGGGGAGGCTTCATATGATCTGATTATGAATACTATTAGTTGGAAGCCAAATCGTATGGCAGGCAGAGAAAGGGAGGCGAAGAGACTTTCCAGGGTCGACATTTGCCCACTTACACCACTCTGAAAAGAATCATGATGAGGACGTCTGTAGAATCCTCTACGCTTAATACTACTTCCTAAATATGTCTCAGCGTTCTTCTTTTTGTGTCATGCCCTGCCCGTTGTTTTCCAGCCAACGCTGTTAAGAAATGCGTGCATAGTTCTATTACAGTCTCAGTTCTAGGAGTAATACAGTCTAGAGAGTGTGATGACCTTGCTAATACTTTAGACAGGAAATCGCAGTATGTTCAGATACCAAATTGGCCATGTAAGGTAAATTACCTTTGGCAGGGATGCCCACGGGCCTGAATTCACATTAGCAGCAGAGCACGTCTAAAATCGTCGTGTTTCTGTAAGATCGGTTGTGTGTACAATATCAACTCAGGTATTGTGTCCACTCCTCCAAGCCAGGGACTCGTAGTAATAGCCCGACAATGTAGCCAAAAGAATGAGGCTGCTGTAGAAAACGCAGTCGCCATTTCATTCCTCTTGGGGTTTGGTAACCGTATGATAGATGCTGTGGTAGCATTGAAAGACTTCATTCAAAGAGTTTGCCCCTTGTCCTTGCTCGAAGCAGTGAACCATCCCTCCCAGGTCTCATCGCGTTCATCGGGGCTGATCAAATCGGACAGCCTAGCCTATCGAACAAATGAAGCATGACTTCCACAGCCGATGCAAAAATGTCAACCGCTGTTTTGGTCAGTCTTTTTAGCCTTCCCGCCACTCCATCCAAAATCAGGAGCATCATTTCTACACCCCATAGCAGTCGCCTGGGCAGCCAGTAGACCAGATCTAACATCACGTTGACGCCTGAAGCAGTTGGTATCTCAAAGTCAGTCGTTTTCTTTTCTTTTTGGACATGTACGCCTATTCGTTGTGAGGTGCTGAAAATATTACACCAAGAGGCTAACCGGAATTACACCGCCTGGCCGAGCTGCAGGAAGATGGAATGATATGCTGAAGTACAGTAATGGATTTATCGTAAAGACATGGAGTGAGAGATGTGTCAGATAGTAGAGAACCGGAGACTCACGTACGGGATGTGCCAAAGTAATTAGTGGGCAACGCTTCTTGGTTGTGGGAAGTACGCTTCAGATACTGCACTTGTCTCCGCGCTGTCGTGCTACGGTCTGTTTGAGAACGAGGGCCACCACTTCCTGCACGTCCCTGCTGCCACGATGGAATTCTATATGTGGCATCAACTCCTCAGACAACCCCACTACAAAACAACCTCCCTATCTCCCTCGGGTTGTAGTCCCTATATTGAAGGATGACGAAGAGACTGACGACTCTCTGAAAGTAGTTAAAAGATTTAAGAAGGCACATGTCGATTGGCCAGCCACGGCGACACAGGTGAATGACTGGAGCCACTGCCTGCCAAATGGTAACACGATGAAAGTTGACGTTACGTTCCGTTTTGCATCAACTAGGTGCAGGAAAAGCGGCAATTTAAGACGCCCCACGCGCACTTAAAGGTTGCACGATGCGGAGGGAAAGTCTATTCCGCTTCTCCTCCCCAGCATTGTTGCCAAACCAGTCAAGAGGGATTGGCGCTGTGACACGACAAAGGAAAATACTGCCGCTCAAAGTTCGCGCGCCGCCTATAAACCGTTATGGACATTATCATGACATTAAGCACTAAGTTTCTCGATTTTGTGCAGACTCATTTGCTCGTGACGGGCATTGAGGATAAGATGGTCCACGGTCGGCTAACATGCCCTGTACCAGGTTGCTCTGGCGACTATTTCATGGTCACACAACTCATCTCAAGAGGCGGTTCGTTTTATTCAATGCATTTGACTGATCAAAGTCGTCATGTAGCTACAACTAGGAGCCCAAAATGGCCTACTATCTCAGAACCACAGGCTCCAGAAGCTCGTCTTGCCTTTGTAGTTTAAGAAATCTCAATTCACCAATCTCTGGCTTACTTTCAAATGAACATCTTATGAGTTGATTCACACTGTCAAACGATATTCCGCCCCAGTCGAGGAAGCGTCCTGACCCACTTGGACACTGTTGTGTATATAACTGGGAGCTTCGTCCTCTTGACTTGAGTAGTGATCAAGGCTAATAGCACACAAGTGAAGATATCACAGGGTGTCATGCCGCCGACGCACCAACAGCACCTAGCGTCTGCATCCAACCGACCGTCTCGCCAAACACGACGGCACATTTCCCATGTTGAAATTTGTCTAGTATTCAATAGTCAATTCCACAGTAAAGCATAAGCCAACGGCCAAAAAGAAATAAAGCGAGCTAAATGAAGGGATCTGTTTTTGGATGCTCTCTGATCAAGTTGATGGTCCCAGCAGCTTTCCAAAATAAAATGTATTATCACGGTGTGCTCAGCCACCGAGGTGAGGGCGAAATATCACTATTTTCATTCTTCTTTCTTTCATCTATAGGAGCTGCAGACGCGCTAGCAGAACCCTCATCCCATTTCCAGCTGTGGTTGCCTATTTTGCAGCCGAATTGTACTTCGTCATTGCCTTGATAGCCTCTACATGAGCATGTTTGGCAAGTTCACCAGGCAAAATGAGCCTCACCGAGGTCTGTATTTCTCTTTCAGATATCGTGGACTTTTTATTGTACGCGGCCAGCTTAGCGGCTTCATGGGCAATACGCCCGAAAATATCTAGGTAGCTTAGAAATCTGGCCTTCTCGCAGTGGAAAAGAGATATGAGCCTTACCCTTCACAAAAGAGTTCATGATCGACATTGCTCGGTTAGAGATACCAGTATCAGGATGCGCGTTCTTCAGGACTGGCGTAAACGCGACTCAGCTAGGAACACGCCCTGCAATCCAAGTCCTCCACGTACCTTTATAGATGTACGAGCTGTAAGTCTCTTTGCGACTCTTTCTCCTCTTCTTCTGTTCCCCGTCGCTTGCGCTCTTGATTGCTGACATGGTGCTGAGGGATAGTAACAAGTAGAATTATGCTGCAACAAGCACTATACGGCAGTGCCAGAATATGTAGCACTTAGGTAGTGCTATGGCTGATGATGATGCTTGAAAGGTGGCCATTTTATGTTTCTTTCACGCAACACATAGAGTTGTATTTCTATCTACGCACGAATTACGGTGATGTAAAAGAATTTGACAAACATCAACTCGTAGTGGTGTCGGGTGTCTTGTCCAACGTCTCGAAAATGGCGGCGCTTGCTAATGTTAGATAACTTACGAACGACTAAGAATAACCACGGCCTCGACATATGGTAAACGCTCCTGGCGCCGCCTGACTCAAATATCCCTACCAGTTTCCAAGGTTGCCGCAAAAAGAATGACTCCGATTCTGATTTCGATACATATCAATCAGATTTTGCATCCGCCTGAATACTAGCGTGTATAGTTTCATGGCTAGCCCATGTTGATACGACAGGGCCGCTATTGTGCGTTCTACTAAGCTTTTTGATTTTTGATGACGTTACCGGGAACGCTGATGATGATTGCAGTCGCCACATGAGCAACAATAGTTCCCCCGGCGATGAGACAGGAAACAGCATATTTTCCGCCTGCAACACCTTTCTTCCAAGCACTCCTCGCAACACCGTAATCGCGCCTTACCACATCGCCAGCACAATACCTAGCTTCCAAGGCGCTTGCAAGAAAGGGGGGAGCATGGTGTGCGAGCGAAAAGTTCGCAGAAGGTAGTCTTTGTCATCGTGTTCAACCACGCAACACCACCCCCCCTCGGAGCCCTCAGGCCTGGGACCCTGTCGGACGTCACACTTCGTTTTTCGCAGCCTCTTGACAAGATTTTCGACGAATTTATTTCTTTGTGGGTACTCAAACGTAACCATATGCGTATTTGTCCAGACGTTGAACGAAATCTTCAAGTTGCTTATTGTCTGTTTGCTTGAAATGAGAGTTATGTATCGATGAAGCTGGGCTACGGGGCATGTTTCCACTTCTGACGTCTGATGCGAACGACGTCACGCCATTTATATGCTCTCCAACGCTATTGAATAAGTACATAGCCTAAAGTACACAGTTACTGTGACAACTCGATGAATATTTTTGCTGCTGTTCTTGGCTGAGAATTTTGGGGTCGCCTGCTGAACTCATTCATATTTAGGTACGCTAGGGTAAAAAAGGCATGCAACGAGTTTACAAATATGGATATCCACACAACTACGATCTGCATTTGAAACCGCGCATTTCGGAAGGGACAGAAACGAGTGGTTTGGATTTCATGACGATCCGCTCAGAACTTTGGATTCAATCAGTTGAACGTAATGGACAACATTTCTAATTTGAGCACTTTTGCAGTAAACTCATAGCCCCATCGCATACAATCGCATGGGTATTTCCCGCCAATACGACAAGCGACGCCTACCGTGACCCCCACGGTAGGGCTTTTGACGCAAGCACGGCCATCCTCGCCTTCGCTCATAGATTCGCCTGGGTTCCCAGTTCTCTTATGAACATTCCCGCCAGGTCTTTCGATTTACATCAGTCCAAGGTGCTCTAGAGAGGTGCGCGTCCACTGAGGTCTAGCCCCTGCAGTGGATTTTCCCCGACAACAGTATTTGTTGGAATATCGTGAGTCCACTTGCCAGCCCCGGTCTTTTTTTAAAAACCGACTCCACGTTATATCAATAGTGTTTCAAAGTTCAAATTCCACTCTTTTTTGAGGACGACTCCAAGGTATTTTGTATGGCTACTCATGTTCCATTCTTTTTTGTATGTACTCGTAGTAGTCGTCTAGCTAGTTGTCAATACACTCAGCTTGAACCGTTACGGTCGCGGCTGCGGGGGTCGCCAGGCTGCATATAGATTCTTATCTGTGAAATACACAGCCGCAGAATTTAACCCATAGCGGAAGTATTGCACCTAGGTATACGAGTGGATTCCTTATCGCGGATGGATTGCTTACTGGGGATACATACACAAGGACCAGTCCAGTAAAACGAAATAAACGCCCAAGCGAGGGGGCCGTACAGGCTAGCGAGTTAAATGTAATGAGAGAACACGTTGCACCGGAGATACAGTATGCACATGTTGGTAAACGCGCAGTGTGTTATAATGTCGGCCGCTTTAAAGTGGGACTGCAGGTAAAGAAGCACAAACACAATGTCCAGCATGTTGTTGATGATCAATTGGGCGTTCAAGCTTGCCGTCTGCGCGTAGTTGGCCGAGTTAGCAGCATGTTGTTGATGACCAATTGGGCGTTCAAGCTTGCTGTCTGCGCGTAGTTGGCCGAGTTAGAAGGAGACATATGCCGCAACCAGTACAGCTGAAGACCGCAAATATTTGCCCTTGGCCCTACACGTCAGTCTGGGCATTTGTCTTGGCGGGGTGGATTGCAAGACGAACGAGTATAGGTAGGCCGCCGGATGAGAATAGTGCTGTGCCCACACTGACCGAAGCGAGTCTGGCTGCGTGGCAACCGTCGAGTAGACTGATGCGGTGATGGAAAGCAGCATCTAGTTGCCATCGATAGAGCGAGGGATAGTATCATGAGAGGGGGGTGATATCGCTGCAAAGTAACTTGCAATCCCTTCTCCAGCAAACTCCCTCCATCAGCACCCATGGCTGGCTCCGTACAAACTTGCAGTCGCTTATCTCTCAAGTGGCGCTGTTGTCCTGCAATGCGGCCAGAAAAGAGTTTGTAGGAGGAGGTGATGCAACTGTTTGGAAGGAATGATTTGCTGGCTGAATATGTACACCGAACAGAAAACATGTACATTATATATGGCTGCTGACACCGGGGTTCTCGCACCACAATAACAAGTAACGCATTGGGGGTCTTGCACCACAATAACAAGTAACGCATTGTCGTGTGGACTGCGTCTGTTCACAACGATAAGCCAAGTTTTGCTAGCCAACGTCTTACGAATGGCGATTGGACTGGCTGCATCACATTCTGCACCGTCGCTTTTTGACTCCTGGCCTGCGCGTGGAGCCACGTTGGAGGTCACAGAGATGCATACTTCTCCCCGTATGAGCTCAAGGTGTCAGGTGACTGCAACAAGTTGCCAACCGCTGTCATAAACCAAGCATATCGCTGTATGAACTGCAGGCTGTCTAAAATTGGCAAGACTTTCATCATAAAGATCTCCACTTCATCACTTGAGCCTGTGGCACTGAACTCAGTCAGCCAGAGTGGTTTCCCAGGGCAAGCATCGTGGGCCCGGTGGAGAAACGAGATCATAGCATCTGCCTGTGTCGTTGAACCGTACCAGTGAACGACACAGAAGTCTACCTTGCAGCCTCTCTGTCCGCAAAGTTCGAGGAAACCACGTAGCCAGTCGAGACTCTTGGGATTATCTCGGGTGCTCCCAGCTTCGTTGCTTGTCACTGCGGGAGACCCGATGGCAACGTCAGAGTCCTGGCTCAGATACTTCATATGCGAATCAACCGCTCTTGCCACCGTCATGTCTGCTTGATCAGCATGATCGGGCTCATTAAATCCCAGAATATACTTAAGGCCTCGGGCGCGTAATATGTTCAGATTTTCCTGAAGTTGCGAGGCGGTGCTTTCGTTCCACAGCATGCGTTCATATTTTCCTGAAGTTGCGATGCGGTGCTTTCGTTCCACAGCATGGGAACAAATTCCACTTCTCTCGACAGTCCGTTGTCCTTCCAGTCCCAGTTGTAGGCCCATGTGCATTGTCGACATGGCCTGCGCAATGTGTTAACCAGCCGCGCATCGTTGTAGGCTAGTCCTCGTTTGCCAACTGTCGGGGGCGTTGATGTTAATGGCTTTTGGACGTTGGGTTCTCCAGGGCAGACACAACGTCGGGCTTGAACGAGATTCGCAATGCACACCAAATATAATGTGAAATTCATTGGAACCCCGAATGCCAGAAGGGTTCAATCAGACTTAAATACTACCCGACCATCCAATGGTCGCGATGGGGTGACGTCAAAGGGTTGGAATACGGGGTTTACGGAATTTCCGGTTTCGCACAATGAGAAGTCATAACCCAGCCCTCCGGAATGTCGTCTACTCGATAGTCTTCTATCCTCAAAGACTTACCGTTCACAAACCAATTTTCCCTAGTTTTCCGTAGTTTTCAAAATCGGCCACACGGAAAGGGTACTCTCGGGGTCCAAATTTAATCATTCGTCGATGTTATACAATTCGAGTGTCACATGCTGTACACTCGTGCACCTACGGAGCAGCAATGGGGCATGGCGAGCCCGGCGATCATCTCACCGCCAGTGCCAACCTCTCGCCAAAGAGGGGACCCAATAGGTGGCGACATCCGTAAGGCTTCGTCAATGCAAGCATGAAGAAAGATGCAAAGACTTGAGCCGTTGTCCAAGACGAATGTGCTCTTCGTGATCAAAAGTGTTCCGGATCTCTACGCACAGCCGCTCCTACGCATGGCGATTCCTACTCAGGTAGAACAACAGCGCACACAAAGCCGTGGTAGTGGTATCAAAGCCTGCAGGTTATATAGGTTGTAAGACACAATTCTCTTTGGCGTAAAGCTTGGTGGTGTGCCCAACTTTGCTCACATGCAACGATGAGCATGCCAATTTCTGACTGAATCTCTGCTGTTGGACATTGTCCCAACCACCTGGACAACTGAATCTGAGCGAAAACGTCGGTGTGTTGATCAAATCGCTGGCTTCGATTGGATATGGCACTTTTGACCCATCGCCAAAATGGCCTCATGCTTCTTGTGGCCTCTCTGAAGAGTAGCTTGTCAATTTTGAGCAGGGCAAGCAGCGGGATGTAGGAGCACACGGCCGGCCTAATTATCTGACTCTTGATATGATGGGTAATAAGGCGATGTTTTGCTGATCCCAGCAAATTGTACCCCTGGCCCAAGAGAAAGTCCGTCAAAATATCAAAACCCAAATATCCTGCCCAGTCCGTCATTTTCAGCGGTTCGCTCCAGTCATTCCCTTCTGTTTTCGAGATGAACCAATTTGGTCACAGAAATTCTTTACGTGGCCGATGAGCGAGCCCTCGAATCTTTCCATGTTTGCGTCTGTAAAGGCCTTGCCTATACACCGACGCTGTTGGCTGTGCTCGTTCTTTTTGTGTATGGTAAAGAGATTCACCGCTCTGGGATTGAACTGTGACAACCGGCGATGCTTTTCGGTGTTTCTTTTCATGCCGTATATGTCTATGAAGCTCGGTTAGCCGCCAGAAAAACAAGGCTAAGTCCAAGGAGTACGAGTGCCCCGCCTCTGTAGCCTTCCACGTTGTTAAACAGTAGCCAGTTTGGCCCATATCTAACAATAGGACCTGGAGTCCCATTAGTCAGTACGTAATCCGGCTACAGAACAGATGCATTATGCAAACCTAGAAGTACCATATCCGTTGTGCCGCTGCCAGATGTCGATGTGAACATGCCTAGAAGTAGCATATCCGTTGTGCTGCTGCCAGATGTCGATGTGAACATCATCTTTCCATGCGTGGTAGCCGGCGCGGACTATGCTAAATTTAGCCAGCAGCGGACCAGGATACTTAGCCAAGGGGTGGAAGAAAAGCTGATAAACCACATAAATCCGGAAGATTTACCTTAGCAGTAGCACTTGTCGGATAAACCTGCCTCTGTTGATCAAAACACGCAAGCATCTTGCCACCAGGGTGGCAAGTGGCGATAGGCAGCAGTATTCCGAAAGTATTAGAAATCTTAAGTTTACAGGGCTTAGGAGAAAAAAAAACACAACAGGAATGATAATATTTTTTGGAGAAGCTTTGTTAACATGAGTCTCATAATGTGACAGCACTATATGTGCCAGTCTGACGATGTGACAATCCTTGATTCCTTAGTTCCTACTATATTTGCCAGTCTGACGATGTCACAATCCTTGATTCCTTAGTTCCTTAGAGTAGAAACCCTTACCGAGAATGATATCACCAGGGCAAGGACGAGTATGGGCTGCATCTCAATGGGTTTCTGTTCCAGGTAGTTACGATTGTCCTCCATTGTGTTTGGTAGAATCTAGAGGTCAGAATGTACCGCTCAAATAAACCCTTAGGAGGTCTCATCCTCAATCTGGACAGGTCGATACATATAATACTGAGTATTATATGGCTCTTGGTGGTCAGGGGAAACGCCATGTGTTTGGCTCTGCCGAGACGTCATGGAAAGATATATCGTTGTGGGCAGCTACCTGTTACTAAAACTCCACTGCACATGCATAACGATGAGGAATGTGAAGTCGCACGGATATAACACTTTATGCATTGGCGTTGAGAGTGGGGAACTCGTACGCCAGATATGCAACTGGAGTATATATTGTTGCGTCCTTGGAGTGCCACGGCCAGTTGAAACATCTGCGACAAAAGGACGTTGGGGTGAGACTAGAAGAAAGTAAATCCGATACAAAAGGAAGTTGGGGCGAGACTAGAAGAAAGTAAATCCGAAGACCATGATCTCCGAAGTCTTGTTTCTGATACCACCTCTTTTGAACGTACTGGCGATATCCCGCAGTGACATTACTTGCCCTACGTACGCGCTCAGAGCAATTATTTTTTCATTAATCATAGCATCCACCACCCATGGCATCTTTTACCCACCATCCAATAATGCGTTGGTCAATTATGCCAATGGGCTCTTTCTGTCGTGGTATGTTGTCTGGTCCGCGAACACTCTCTTTATATACGACATCCGGTCGTTGAGGCGCCTTCAAATGAGAAGTGTACAGGGCCACGACTTCTGCTACTGGGAGCCGATACACGAGACCTCTGGGATGCGTCGACTCATTTGGGCACTTGATTTGTCCACCAATTTCCGGGGTCTGGGATGGATGTCTTCTAAGCCTGGTGTATCGTGGCCGACTGTCAAGCACCGGTGGTGTCCGACCACATCTTACGGACTAGCCAGGCGCATCCAGAAGGTTGCTGCGGATTGTCTGATCTTTTGTGGCGTGCGTTTTCTCGTCCACGAATCACCAAATATCCCGCATGGTACGTTGCAGTCTTCCACGATCCCGGCTAGAAGCTAACTATGGCTGGAGTGGACACGGTCTCTACTGCAATTGCGCTGCACTGCATCATGGATGGAGTACACGTAACGGTGACTATTGTCGCCGTTCATGTCTTGGGGCCTAGTATCCTGGGAACATGGGGAAGGTCAGAGTTATACCCTCCATTGTTTGGTAGGCTTCGGGACCTGGGATCCGTCAACTTGAAAGGTGAGATTCAATGACGAAGGATCTTGGTCGTTAGTTACAGATCTCGTGCTAACACTTAGTGTCTGCCAGCGTTCTGGGGGAGGCTGTGGCATGATATGCTGAAGGGGGGCCTGGTATGTCCGACTGAAAAGGCCGTTTCGCTGGCACCAAGGCGTTGTGCTCACGAAGGGGCGATGCAGTCCGCCTTATGCTTCGTTATCTCCGCCGTGGTACACGCTGCCGCGACATATTCAGTATCACAGAGTGTGTCAGCTGCCTTTCAAGTGTTTGTTGGATTCTCCGCCCAGATATTGGGCATAATGCTTCAGCAGGGCGCACGATCAGCGTTGTCTCTGAGCGACAGCCATGGACAGCGGCGAACGGTACAAGCGGCTAGTAAGGTCATAGAGGTTACGATTGGAATTGGCTGGATATGGTTATCGTTTCCAAGTATCTACAAAGATCCAGCTCTTCGGGCTGTCACCAACTCCGTAGACCAGCTCGTACTGGCCTGAATATGGAGCTGATGGTAGTTTGCTGCAGCTTGCCATTGTTCCTCCTAGTGTATTCTGACAAGTCAGTCAGTATTAATGCTGTATTAATATGTGCGAAGAAGGCTTTTCAAATATTCATTCTGACAAGTCAGTCAGTGTTAATGCTATATTAATATATGCGAAGAAGGCTTTTCAAATATTTAAAAGCGAAATTATCGAGGAGAGTACATACAATAACTACGCACTGAGGTTGATTACTCTGGCAGTTTTGCATTGAGCCTCCGTCGAAGCAACCCACAGAATACCCCACGAGATCCACTTGGGCAGTCTGCAGTAACAACCCTAGTCTAGTCCATTCTTCGCATTTTTTGCATTACTGTGCTTTCAGGCTACCGAATAGCAGTTTTAGCCGGAATACCCGTGCCATATGTATGACGATACTGGAAACGCATTGCCGCTGCGGCGATATAAAGAGAACCATAGTATGGCCAAACACGAATTTCCAAACAGAACTTCCAGCACATTATTTCCCCAACATTCTGTCTGATATCACCAGAAATGGGGTTCTCCAACCCAATTTTAAGCCATGATATCTGGTTTACGTCGAGAGATCATTGTGGCTCGTTCACACCGGAGAGCTTTCAGTTACACTATGACCGAGCACGCTCAATATGTCGTGAAATAGGTATTCACCACACTTATCGCATCCGTGTTTTTGCTATCCAAAACTAAAGGCGTCATATGTAGGATTGACCATAACCGACATCCGTGCTCACCCCGAAGTTCTGGGCATTCCACTTTGACCGTCCGTGAGAGCGTGAAAAGAACCCTCGAAATGACATCCACTGACCACTTCAGTGATCGCCACCTGGAATATGACCGCCTTCATCATTGCCACTATTCATCTCAATCTGTGCATTGGAATCCTCGGTTCTTTCTACATGTCTCGTCGAGATCTGTCAGACTTGATTAACGACGTACTGGACTTCAAGGCCTGCGGTGAGTTCATGCTGACCGAGGTAGGCCATGGTCTAGATGCACGCAACCTCGAGACAACCACGACGCTGTTGCCCAGTGGTTGTTTCGACCCGCGCAGTCCGAGCGAAGCAGTCTGGAAGGCGATGCCTCCCTCAACTCCTCTGTGTGGCGTGCCGCGCGTGGCGGTAGTATTTGCCCGTCTCATCGTAGACGGTCACGACCACGGCGTGAAGCCTTTTGTTGTCAAACTCTGCGATGCGCAGCCAATGTGCCGAGGCATTACGTCCCGCGTCTTGCCTGTTCGGCCGGGGACGAAGCCACCCGACCATACCATCACCAGTTTCGACCACGTACTTCTGCCATCGACCGCTTTGCTAGGGTCCAAATCCAAAGCAAGTGACACCCCACGCGACTTTCTGCGACAGATATGGAGAGTGTCCGTCGGAACGTTATCACTCTCCATCATGGGAGTGTCGTCCATCCGGGTGGGAAGCCGCATCGCGCTCTCCTACAGCCAGCGGCAGCTTGTCACTGCGGTCTCCGACGCAGTCAAGACCCCAGTACTCCACTTCAGCACCCAGAGGCAGCCGATTGTCAAGGGATTCGCAAGCTACGCCGTCCTGCAGGCATTTGCCAAGTGGACCATTGAGCAGTTCTGCAAGAAAACTGCGAGAGGCAACGTTCGGCAGGCATTGGCCACAGACTTCAAGGCAACAGTAATACGGGAAACGAGGGTT